ACAATATTCACCAAAATTAGAGAATTGAAGATATCATTACAAAATGAACAAATCTGAGAGAGATCCACATGTAGTACCTATATATGTAATATCAAAGCAATTGGACTTGCGGTTTTTAACAAGAAGTCAAAAATATCACTTTTTACCAAAAATGACAAAAATATTCACCAAAATTAGAGAATTGAAGATATGATCATGAAATGAACAAATCTGAGAAAGATCTACCCAAGGTACATATACACCAAGTATCAAAGCATTCAGGCTTGTAGTTTTCAAGAAGAAGTCGAAAAAGTAAAACATCGGACGACGGACAATCACTCATATGATAAGCCCCGCTCGACAAAGTCGACAGCGGAGCTAAAAACGTAAATTCGTAGACATAGGCAAAGTGTAAAATGTAATCAGCTATTTCATTCGTCCGTAATTTGTACAAAGATATTTTTTTGTAAGCGTATAAAGCATTTTCAAATTAAATGTCGTAATCTGTGCGCAATTTCCAATTTTGCTTCTTCACAAATTATCAAAAATATTATAAAAATGTTAAATGTAATTAGGAATTTGCTTTATCTTTAAAGTGTAAAAGCCTTTTTTTTTTTTTACTGTAAATGGAAGTTTCATTTTATTCCATACTTTACGAATTTAGAAAAACCTAAGCATGCAAGTATGCCTACTTGGTGAAAACTCCTCTGAAAAATGGATTATATAAACCAGGTCCCAGCATATTCTTATCATTGATCAACCTTTACATGTAGTTTGTGGCCTGTTATCAGAATTTTCATGCAATGCTACTTAGTATTTTATTCGTCTGTCATTTGTACAAAGATTTTAATTTTTGTAAGTGTATAAAGCATTTTCCAAATTAAACTTAATAATTTCCAATTTTGATTCTTAAACTCAAATTATCAAAAATATTATAAAAACATAAAATGTACCGGTAATTAGGAATTTGCTTTATATGTAAAACCTATTTTTTACTGTAACCTGTACCAGCTTGCCCCTCCCCCCTTACAAAAAAACATTTGACTTTTATTCCCAATTTTTTTTAGTAGTTCAATATTTTATTTTTTCATCATACACTTGAATATACTGTTTAACTAAATCTTTAGAATACTGTAAATTACTTTAGTTTTACTTGGAATTTATTTCCCTTGAAGGAATGAATCAGTGAAAATAAAATCCAATGAAAATACTTTTCACATTCAACTCAGGACAAATCAGTTAAAGCATCATACAATTTTTTTTTGTTTTTATATCTTCACTGAGTGAAAATGAAGTCCAGCTAATATATTTTACAGTATTTTCCAAATAGTTCAAGGGCACAGAATTATAAGTATAATTTTGTTTGAGATTTTTTAAGAAAACACATTTTTTTCATAAATTGTTAACCATTAACCTTTAATAGGAAAGGCAGATATGAGAAAAACTGTGTTATTGAACTGAAATATTTGTTTGCCTTCCATTAGTTTTGAAGTAAGTAGCCTAGATTTTTTTTAGGATAAATGAAAATTGTTTTAAAATCTTTCAACTATATTTAGAATTTATTTTAATAATATACAACTTTTTCATCACCGAACAAATTTTCAAGATGTCAAGAAAAGATTTTGCAAAATGTAGTTTTTGACCATTTTCAAACAACATTTGGGGACTCTTTCTCAACAACAAATTGTCCAGTGATCCCCCAATTTATCTTTATTTTTTCGTATTGTTTTAAAATGGCTTTAACCCATAATAACAATTCATGAATATGACATATAAACTTCAATCCGACCTTTACTTTCAATAAATGTATTCCACAGCAGCAAATATCACACTTGGTTTCACTTGAAGGTTCACAAAACTTTTTGCATAATTTCAATAATTTTTTTACCATTGCAAAAATAATAAAAAACTAGCAGTCGCCAACCTCATTTTTAAGAAAAGTATGAATTTATTTACCATTATCACACAGCTAACATACAGGACTGGTTCTATATGTATAAAACATGCCTTTCAAACTTGGAGGGAAAAAATGAGGAACACTGATTTTTCAAGCTAGATTGTGTTTGCATAAGAAACCACAATGTATACACCTATAAAAGTCGATACTTAGAAAAGTTATACAACTTCCATAACCATGCACTGTGATATGCAATGCAGATCTCATATAAGGTGAATGCTGTTTTTTCAGCAAGAATATCATGGAATTCATATTCATGTTCGAGTTCCAATATTGTTCTAACCACAGTGTAGCTAAACAATAATTCCTTGAACACCAAAACACCATATTACATGTTACTTCTCCTGAAATTTGTATTTGTAGAAATGTGCTTTCATCTTGTGATTTCTCATTCAGTGTACAGCTAGTATATATCATATATACATGTATGCTGCATACCTATGTTACAAAATGTATTTCATTTAAACTGAAAGACATGTAAAATTTAAATTCAAAAGAACATAGAACATGGCATGGGTGTTTTGCAGAATGATGGGTGGTATCATTGTAGCCAATCCAATTATCACGCCGGGATTTGAATAAAGCTGATGACAATTTTGTTTAGTAGATATTTTTCATAAATATTATTTTTCCTTAATGCCCTTGAAACCATTCATTGTAAGACTTTACATACAAAATGTATGGCAAAAAAAAAATGCATCGCACACTTTTGCAGCCAACCCCCATGATTTACAAAAGGTTGGCACAAAAAAGAGGACTATGATGACTAAGTTATTTAAAAAAATAAACAAACATATTTTTATGCTATTGGATATTCATGGATGTTTTGGTAAATGTA